AAAAAAAAAAAAAAAAACAGATCAGCTCAAGCAGGGGAAGAAAATTCTTTACCTGGATACCGGAGCAAAGAGACTGCCATTGGGGAAGCAGTTTCAGGCAAGTACTATACCACGCATCTTCCGGCGGTGGACAGATAAAGTCGCCGCTGGTGGATGAAGATGAAGAAGCTAGGGTTTGTCTATCCATGTCATGTGTATGTTTCTGTGTGTGTAGTGTATGTTCTTCTATCAGAATAATGGAATACTTTCGGATGAGAAAACTCAAAAAAAAAAATAAAAAAAATTGGTGGGTTTATTGTGCCTTTCTGCGTGTGTTTATGAGTTTATCTCAATCATAATAATAGAAAATCAAATAATAAAATTAATTTGATGTAAAAATATAAGAAAAATAACGTGAAATGATGGTTGAGTTAAAATTATGTGAATAGATGAATGGTAAATTAAGCGGATGAGATTTGTAATATTTATTGATTATTACTATTATATAATTATATTGATAATAGTGGTTGAGTTAAAAAAAAAAATTGCTTTAAAAATGATTGATTTTTTAAAATCAAATCTATATCCAATCACATCCCAAGTTTCTTGGTGAAGCTCGACCAACTGCAAATCAGATCTTCACTCTTGCTTTGGAAGAGGTCGAGGAGCTGCTTAAAGCTCCTCCTGATTTCTCAAGGTCATCAAGTGTGAGGTTATCGTGGATTAGCTTCTCGACTATCCCGCGGGTTATGAAGGCGAGCCCGAGCTTTCTTTCGACCACTGGTGGACCCAAACGCTCGACCCGTCCTTTACCTGCTGCAGGTTTGAGAAGAAACTACCATTCCACCTACTCCAACTGCTCGACCTTTTTCCCAGGTTCCTCTTGAAGGAGGTTAAGCCTCGGTGGCCCAAGCTGAAGTCGTTGAGCCAAGGACCAGTGAATCAGCTCCTGAAAAGATCACTGATCCGACAACCTCTTCAACGCCAATATTGCTTTTGAAAAGCCAACTCCAACGCTTTCTCAATAATTTATTTCTTGTAATTTTTGTGTTATTTTGAAAAACTTTGTAATGTGTCTTTTCTTTTTGTCGAGCAATCGACCTTTATGAAGTGTGGTCACCAAAACACACCTCACACTTTAGAAAAAAAAAAATACATTCTGACAATTTATTCATTGAAAACAATCGGCCTTCCATCGACATCGTAAAAAATGAGACTATACTTAGAAAAATATTGAAATTTTGAGAATAACATCTCCTTCGTTACTCGACCTGCCACTGAGGTCTATTGACTCAGTACTTGGAAAAAATTTCGCAATTATATTGTGCTTGTTCGATCTGGTCGCCGAAGTTTGAATTTTGAAATGTGATCGTCATGCTAGCGTCGACCGAACCGTAATGTCATTGTTCTTCAATCTTCTTGCGAGATCATTCTTTGCTGGATAACCAAGACTCCTACACTTGCCGACCTGCTTTTGAAGTCGTTCGAACAAGCAATGCCAGCTCAAAAGCCTTGGTCATGCTGGATTTTTGTCTTCTAGATTCCAACATTTGCCCCTGACGTCGTTCAAACAAGCCACCGGCGAGGACGACAAATACAATTTGCTCACAAGTCTCCCTACACCACTCTTTCTGTTCAGACACCTTTAGATACACCATTGTGCGTATCCACTAAAAACCAACCTCTCGAGTCGTGCTAGCCCAAGCCTATGAAACAACCCATACTTACCATCCTCCAAATTAGGCCTAGTTGCACGGGCCGCGTCATACCTTGTCTGGTGAGTGAGCGACAGGCTGCAACCGGTGGCAGCTCCCAGTAACTATCAAGCACAGACTCCACAAATCGGTTGTTTTGAAACGCTCGGCAAAAGCGAAGTGATGGTCTTGTTTCTGTGGTTTATATCGTCACGCATGTAAACTAAATAACTTGATTGTAAAAGGAAAAAAAAAAATGACAATATGTAGCAGCTACTTCACTGAATCAGTTCATCTAAACTAAGGTTTTACAAAAATACCCTTGTACAGCCTCCCTAATTCCAAACCAACCTCGTCAGCCAAGCCATCCTCCCCAAACCCCCTCAAACCCTTGCTCAGAACCTTTCCCAAGTAATCATCCATCTCACACTCACTCCTCTTCATCATCCCGTACATCCTGACCGTCGATTCCTTCCTCCCCGCGCCAATCAATGCCTGCACCAACCTCAGCAGCCCCTTGCTCTCGCCGCACCTGATCCCTCCCTCCACCTCCATCTCAAAGATCAGCCGATCGATCTCCTCTGCCAGCCCGTTCCTCGCCAGCGCCACCACCATCTCGGCGTACGCCTCGAGATCGGCGCCGTGCTCCGACCGAAGGGCGGAGAAAACCCGGGCAGCGACGGCGCACTGGTCCTGGCGGAGGAGCTCCTTCAGCGCCGCTTCGAGGTCGGATTTGATGAGGCGCGAGAGGATGTGAGTGGGGAGGTTGTCCGGGTCGGATCTGTGGGCCCGCTTGAGAGACTGGATGGCTTGGATTGCCTCGATGCTCAGGATGCGGCCCTTCATGAGCGGGCCGCGGTTGTTCCTTGGACCGCAGCGCACGGTGGTTATGCGCCGGAGATTGGGTGATGTGCTGGTGGCGGCAGAGAAGAGTAAGGTATTCAAGTGTGCTGCGGAGGCCATCTTGTTGGGGGTTGCTTTTTATTTGTCGAGAATTGAGATTGTTTTCGAGATTGGTTTCGAATAGTAAAGGATAAGAAACGAGGGATATAAGCTAGCTAGATTTGTTGAAATGATAAACTAGTTGATGATAAATTAAGTTATAATTAGTGATTTCTTAGGTTATGACTTATAGTTGAAAGTTTACCTTATTTTGATAAAAGTGTTGATAAAATTAAATTATAAATTAGATGAAAAAATAATAATAGGCTAACCGATGTGAAAAGAGATTTAAATCATATAATTTAATAGTTAAAAATAAAAAAATATTGAAAATAAATTTTATGTAAGACATACATTTAAAATACCTTATATTCATTTTCAATAAAAAAAGAGAAAAAAAAAAAAGATGAGCAAAAGGTTATCTATTTAAAATACCCTTCGATTCTACATACTATATAACTAATCTATTATAGAGTGTGCGCCAATTTTCGTAGTGAACCCTCACCTAACGTAGATAATCGTAGAATCTACTAAGAACTCTTGTTCCATCTTATTTTGAAAAGAAGTTTTATTGCTGAGAAGGAGCATGCAATTGTTAGTAGTAAAAACGAAAGTGTCAAAATGGGATGAATCTATTTGCCGATCAAATGATAGTGACGTGTCTTCTTTGCCTCAACTAATTGCGACATAAATAAAAAATAGTAGAAATATTTTGAAACCTTGTTTTTACGCCATCAAAATTGCAATGCTCTAAATTGACTCCTTAAATAGTATAGTTCTTGTCTATTAAAATCATTGGGATATAATTTCTCAGCAATATTATAAATATCATCCTTATTAAACAACTTAAAGTCGTCTTAGGAACCAATGCAATGCTAAACTTAAGAAGTTCTATAGCCTTCACGAACTCTTATTGAAGTCTACATGTACCTCGAGCTGCCTAAACGAGCTCCCCAACTAGGTCAAACGCTGATAACTAGCTTAAGCTCCATTGAACCAACCTTGTCCGAACAAACCACTCAAGCCGGTCAACCGAACTAATATGAGTGCTATATCAAAGTGACCATAGTTGTTCCAAAAATATTAGCGTTTGATCAAACTCACGCCATTTTTTTTTTCTAGCATATCTAATAAAAGCTCTTGATAACTGCTCACACGCTTCAAGTATGACAAAATTTAGATGAAAAATACATAGAGCAGGTATTTGTTCAATGCGTATAGCAGTTCATTATATTGATCAATTTGTAAAGATTTAAGATAAAGCTTATGGACCAAGGCCTTTGTGATTTTGGACATAACTTCCTGTTTTAACCATCCTTAATGCTTCTTAAAAAGAAAAGGACCAAGCTTATCTTAATATCTGACAAAAATGATTGGTGGAAGATTACCATAAACAAACAGGTGATTGATATCTAAAAGTTCACACCCACAAACACCAAAAAAACAGTCACGAAATTGATTCCTTATATAAACACATCTAACTCACCACAGAACCACCAAAAAGTCTCCCCACACTAAAAAAAGATAAATCACTTTTCATGCTCAGACACCTGTAGATACACCATCTGTGTGTACCCATTAAAAACCGACCTCTCGAGCCGTGCTAGCCCAAGCCTCTGAAACAAACCATACTTACCATCCTCCACAATAGGTCTACTTGCACGGGCCGGGTCATACCTTGTCTGGTGAGTGAGCGAAGGGCCTGCAACAGGTGGCAGCTCCCAGTAACTATCGAGCACCGACTCCACAAATCGGCTGTTCCGAAAATGCTCGGCGAAAGTGATGGCCTTGTTGCTGTGATTGAAATCGTCACGCATGTAACCTCTCACGCCCCACCAAGCGTCCCCGGGCCCACACAGCTCGTCCGTATCCACAGCTTTCTCCCAAAACTTCTTTCTTCTGTATCTTGTCCGAGCCTCATCGCTTTCTTTGAAGCAACTATGGCCACCACCTGATGGAAAACAGACTTATTTATCATAATTGAGATTAAGGGACGACATGGAGGATGATTTATATGATGGATGAGAAATGAACAACACCACATAATTCTACTTTTTCTTATACTCAGAGTGCTCTGCTGAAATTTTGCTTCAAAATATCAAGGGAGAAACTTCGGGGTAAGATTATGCAGAATCTATCATTACCATAAAACAGTTGATGCATAGTGAAAAAGAAGGCATGCGTTTCCACAGACCCCATGTTTATGTTACAGATACTCAAATTCATAGTCTTCAAAGTATTACAGACAAAAAAATTCATGAAATGAAAGGGCGAACATACCTCTAATATAAAATTGATCACATATTTGCCTGAAGGAATAGTGGTCTCCTGTTCCAGTATCATAGTTGTCCTCAAAAACCAAATGTCTGAACCCAGCTTTCAGTGCTTGCTTCAATCTATCCATCAATATATCAAAGCAGAACATTTATAATATATATTAAAAAAAAAAAAAAATGATGAACAAAACAAGGTACAAGAACTAGGAAACTGAATAACTTGATTTGTGGCCAGCAGAATATTAATGCTATCATCCAATTACCTCTTAAGTTCATTCTGATGGTCATCGAAGAACACAAGCACCCGACTATGATCCGTGATGCCATGCTTTCTCATCACTTTTCCCCAGTCCATGCTTCCGAAGTCCACAAAGTCTTTCCCAGCAAAATAGGTGCAATTTGCATCAACATAAGCAGGCCCTTTCTTAAGGTACTTCTCAGGATGCCTAGGTGAAAGTGATAAGATAGGCGTATCAGGCATGGCCTGCCTTAAGACCCAAGTCGAGTGCCCCTTAAAAGCACCACTTTCAATCATCAAATTCGGCTTCAGCCATCTCGTGATAAACCAAAGTCCAAAACTGTGGTCGAACCCCATACCGTACATGTTGTTCTTAATGGGCCGGGTTTCATATATTGGCACAAACTCCTCGAGACCTTGGATCAAGTCTTTCGATGTCCATTCCACAGTTTTTCCGTGTTTCGATCTGCCTTTTGACAAGCATAGCAATTATATGCATATACAACCCATGAAAAACATTTGATTGAAATAAAATGCCAAACTCAAAATATTGTAAAAGGAACACAAATAGTTGTGTGGGAACAGTATCCACATACATCATCGTTTTACTAGATTAGAAAATTCAAAGTAAGATATGGTAAACAGATATTATTTGGTCCTTGCACCTGGTGAAAATGATAATAATAACAACTTATGTTGTTATTGTAATACGAAGTTAAACAGTGTTTAGAATATAAAAACTGATTTGAAGATAGAAATCACAAAAACTAAGCTAAGAGTGAGGTCGGCTAAAGTTGTACGTTTAGCTCGGTAAAACGCTCTGAAAGTCCTACATATGTGCATAAATATATACTGCTTAGAAGTTGTAATAATCCATAAATCCTTTAAGATGAGGCTCTCATATCTATTAATAGACCACTTCCGAGCACTGTATTCATGCTACAGCAACTAATCTCTTTCTCGACACTTGTTCAGACATGTGTCAAATTCAGAGCTAATAATTACATGTCGATTGTCGGTTGTAACTAACTGTGCTGGCATAATTCTCACCTGTACAGTTTTATTTGCCAGCTCCTGCTTCAGATCGGCATCATTTACTTTCGAACTGCATCTCCTGTGACGGGGCAAGTGTTGTCGACTTTCTTATTCATTTAGGTCGGCAACATTTACGAATTTCAGACCTAATTAGTTCCTAATTCGCTGGTTTAATCCTCGGTCATCCTTTAATCGACTATATTCTGACATTTTTCTTATAAATTCATAACCTTCAGATGTAGATCATAAGTTTTCAAATCAAAACTTCATAATAGCAACTTGAAGAACATAACTTTTGTTCAATCAATTAAGCTATACAGGGAAAAGCCAGAAATGGGAAGCAACTGCATTCACTCAATCAGCCTCTACCAAATCCTCAAGTAAGAAAGCTAGAATTCAAGCAAGCTAAAGAAATGTGATGCAAAACAAATGAAGATTTTGACCTAATAATTCAGAACATAACAATTAGCGTCTGCAAATAGATACTGCGTTTCCAAAATGTAAAGAGAAGATGATTATTAACTTACACCATGGAACACCAAGAGAACCGAAATCCGACTCGGGGCCATCGAATCCAAAGAACAACGAAGAGATGTGATCCGAGGAGGAAGCCGAGATGCAGACCAAATCTCGCGAGTGAACAACCAGAGACGAGATAATCACGACTGCAAGCCCTAGAATCAGAACCGGCCATATGTACCCTGTCCGAATTAAGTAATTGGTCACCCTCATAGCTACGGATATGTGCTTCCGGTTCTTGGACTCGTCGGCGGTTTCTCCGCCGCCGACTTCTTCAGCTGCGGGCGCCTCCTCGGCGGCGTGAGGCTGCTGCCGTCTGGTGGAGAGTGTTCGTTCGAGAATTTTGGTCGGCGTTGGCATTTCTAGCTCACTGCATGTGTTGATGAGGAACAAATCTGCTTTAGCCAAGAACCAAGATATTCACTCGGTTGTGAATTGCAAAATAAAGTGGGAATGAAACAATTAAAAATAAATCCTAACTGCTAGAAAAAAAAAAAAATTCATATTTTAAATAGTGTTTGGTAAATCAAATAAGCTAGTTTATAGTTTATTTGGTTAGCTTATAAGCTTCATGTATTCAAATAAGCCCCGTTTGGTAGGACGAACTTATTTAAAAAGCTCGAGCTTATTTGATAAGCTTGTTTAGGTAGCTTTTTAAATAAGCTAGTTGAATTTTTTATTTCAGCTAGCTTATCAGCTAATTTTACCAAATACGTTTATCATATAAGCTAGCTTTTCAGGTATAAGTCATAAGCTATAAGCTATAAGCTCGAAGTTTACATATAAGCTATAAGTTATTTTATCAACTATCATCTAGTTTACCAAACATAGCCTAAAGACAGTGTAATATTTTTTTTACCGACCTAATATATGGGCCCCACCCAACACCAGCTCATCCTATCCAATTCCCAAACTACCCGCTCACATGTGGGATCCACCAGACTCTCTCTCTCACGCACAACACACTCTTCCTGTCACTCTCTCTCATACAATTACACACACTAATGCACAACACACATATGGAGTCAATGTCTAGCTTCAGTCTGCCGCCCTACAACGTCGCGCTGCAGCACTGCCCGGCGTCGCAACAGTCCAATCCTCATTTGGTCTCATCGGCGATGGACACAACTGTCAATGTCACCGGCGGTCGCCCGTTGCTTCCCCCTCCTCGGCAAGGCTCAGTAAATGTAGAGCTGCGATTACAAATTTAAGATCGTCGAATAACAAGTATAAAGCTCTGATGACCATCCCCGTCCTCCTCACCACCATCGTTGACCGTCCCGACGCCGTCTTTTGGCGTCATCTTCAGCTGGCGTCCTCACTCCTCCGTCGAGATCCAGTTGGAACCGATGTCCGAAATGTAAATAAATCGACTCTAAAATCTATAAATCGGAAGGTGTACATGAAATCATAAATTAGAGTTGGGACATTATTTTAACAAATTTGAAAATTTAAAATGACTTGTTTGCAATATGAAAAATTTTAACTACACTACATGTATTTATTATTACAATTTAATAGATGTAATGGGTTGGTAGGTTGAGGATTTCAAGACTTAAATATGGGTCTTACAGGAAATTTAATTTAAAATATCATATGATGTTATTTATATATTATAGTTGTGCAGATACATATATATATTATCTATCTTGGAAGAGCAATAACACAAAATATTAAATAAAAAAATATAAGCATTCAATTTTTTTTATTATATAAGATGCACAATAATGTTAATTGAATTAAACATTATTAAAGTTTTTAAAAATTTAAATGCACATTAGTTCTAGGTTTCAATTGGGTTGGGAGAGAAAGTTCGATTCGTTCACACTGCACAACAAGGGCCAAAACCGTGCACTGTTCGATAAATTGCACATTAAGGATTGACATGTTGCACTCTTGTGCATGTGACATTGAACTCTATCATAACATATTTACAGACCGAAATATATATTTTAGTTGAAAATCTTTACATGTCGGCCCGATTATTTCGCGTAACAAATGTACTGATTGCCATGATGCAAAATATTGACTGAAATCGACAAAACTACAATTTTGGATTCGAGACTTTATATGTCGTTTTGATTTT